TTTCAAGATAATGGAATGGAAAGAAACAACATTAATGATTTACATGAATATTAATCTTTATTGATAATAAGAAATATTGTAGATATAACAATTCAGAGGTAGTTATGTCCCCTACCCAATAAACTTACAGTCTTTGACAATTTGTGCATTTTAATAAGTTCTTAATTATAAGACAAAAGAAAGTCACTGAGAAGACGTGTAAAATCAGTTATAAAACATCTATAAGACTGTGGAGTAATTCATATATGAAAGTATCATATAATGGTTTGTGAGCATTACAGTACAATATCTGATTATTAGTGAAAACCAATGTAAGTTTCTGTAATGAAATTGGATTCTTTCCCCCAAACATCCATTTTAGGTATTGTGAAAAGTGCTCTTTAAGTAACCTGGTCACCATTTCTCCCTATATTCTCTTAGAAAGTCATGAGAAAAAGGATGTGTTATGCAGATAAATATCAACTATTTTGTTACTATACTGAATATAAATCAAAGTTCTCAATAACCAACTTTTCCTATTGTGACAGGACTAAATGCTACATTCATTTCAGGGAGGGGGAGAGAGGGTTGCTCTCTAAGAAAGAAAAGATATTTCATCAAATCTTTTTACTTTTTAAAGGTAGAACTCACTTCTTAAAACATTTTTAGAAACAGATTATAAATTTGCTGTGGAACAAATGCAACATTGGTGTCTTAGAAAGACTTATAGAAATGCTAGAGGCCTTTAACATTTCTGATACATCTAAGAGCTCAAGATTGAATATAAATGAAGCCCCAAAATCCACACTGCAGAGACACTTCTCAACAAACTCACCACATAGATTCATTCAGAAAAGGGGATCCAATTGCTGAGTTGTAGGAGTCAAATTTAAATGTAGATGGTTTTATACCATAATAAAACTGGGCTTTTTGGCAGGTAATATTTGTTAACATTTATCGTAATTTGAGTAACATGAAAAAAGCTAGGCTATCTTATGAAAATTTCTTTAACTATTGTTAAATGATCAGTTAACTAATGTTTCAGGCCACTTCTATTTATATCTGAGGCAAAAGATTTGGATTTGTGGTACTATAGTATTAGCATTGGACTTTGAACCAAATGGTTGGCAGTTCAAAGCCACCAGTTGCTCCTTGGAATCCCTGTACAGGGCTGTTATGAGTTGGAACAGACTCAACGACACTTATCAACAACAGCAATGAGAGAGCTTCAAAAGGTTCATGGAAAAGTTCCACAATCTCTTAGTTCCATTTTTCCATGAAGGTTTTGAAGGTCCCTTGTATACCGCCTTCAAAATATTTGAGTGTTAATTATGCTTCCTCCTCCTGGAAAAGCACCAAATATGGCATCTTATACCACTGCTTCTAAGCGTTTCAGAACCACAGTCAGGTGGAGACCCACACTCGATAGAAAAGGAAACAAAGTTTGAAGGCCTTGAACCCCGGCCTCCTGTCTTCCAGTTACCATTTTAGCCCGTCATTGCTAGCTGCATTTCTCTCACCCAGAACACCTGTTTAGAAATTAATCCTACCTGAACTTCAGAGCCTGAGAAGCATAAGGACCGTTTTAGACGGTGAGAAATAGCAGGAAAGGTGAGGAAAAGCAGTCTGAATTCCGTGGCTGTTACTCCTCTTGAACACCTCACTCAACTAGTGGAACTCTACCATCCTGAAACCTCGCTGTGAACTTTATATTTAAGCATTAATGACATTCAAGTTTGACTTTGATTTGGCTTGAAGGTTATTTTAATAATTTTGTTGCTCTTTAAATTAGTTTCAGTTTGACTCTGATACAAATTTCTGTTTTTGGTTAAGAATCCTGAACCAATTCACATTTTGGTTCATGTCCCTTCAAAGATTTCTGTCTTAGAAAACGAAAAGTCAGAACTCAGGATGTCCAGTTGCAAAACCTGTTTGTTGTTGTTGTTAAGTGCCATCAAGTCGGTACTGACCCATAGCGACCTTATGCACAGCAGCACGAAACACTGCCCGAACCTGGGCCAACCTCACTACTGTTGCCACACTTGAGTCCATTGATGCTGCCACTTGGCCAATCCATCTCTTTGGGAGTCTTCCTCTTTTTCTCTGACCCTCCACCTTACCAAACATGATATCTTTCTCCAGAACTGCTCCCTCCTGACAATATGTCTGAAGTATGAGAGACGAAGTTTGGCCATCTTGGCCTCCAAGGAGCACTTTGGCTGCACTTCTTCCAAAACGGATTTATTGGTTCTTTTAGCAATCCATGGCACTTTCAATATTCTCCTCCAGCACCACAACTCAAAAGCATCGATTCTTCTATGGTCTTCCATATTCACTGTCCAGCTTTCGCATGCATATGAGGTTTAGGGCTAAATAATTGTTGTGAAGTGCCGTCAAGTTGGTTCCAACTTATAGTGACCCTGCAGAGGATTTCTGAGGCTTTAAATTTTCACAGGAGCTGGAAGCCTCATCTTTCTCCCGTGGAGCAGGTGGTGGGCTCAAACTGTGAGCCTTGTGGTTTGCAGTCAGTGCTTATTGTATGGAGCCACCACTCTCCCAGGGCTTAATAGTAAATCTGGTATTACATACTTTTATATGTAATATATCAAAATCATTTCCTGTAATATATTAATACATATTTCCAAATATATAATAAATTATGGATTTTTAAAAAACTGATCAACATATCCATGTTAGAATTTACAAAAAGTGGTTAAAAAAGAAAAGACTACAGATCTTGTGTATTTTTCTGGTTTTGGCAATGTAGATTAAGCTCGGTCCAGGAGTAGCACTCCGTCCTTGGTGTTTCTCAGGTCCAGTGTGGTGGCTTGCTTCCCAGGTTCTGCAGAACTTTCCATGTCATATAAGAACCGAGAGGACTCACCTTCCGTGAGTGATACTCTGTACTTAGAAAACTGCTAACCAGTGTTATTATTGTCTTTTCTGTTTGATGTCCCCCCAACCCCTTATTCTTATCATTTTTTTTCTTGTGTATGTTTTAAGTTAACTCTTACTATAGTGGAGAACTGTTGTTTCAAATTTAGTACTAATGGTAAAATTTTGTTTTCCAATAAGAAAATACAGCCTGCAGTGCTACTAATGAAAGGAGCCGTGGTAGCACTGTGGATTAACAGCTGGGCTGCTAACTGAAAATTACGAATCTACCAACTGCTCTCAGGAGAAAGATGAAGCTTTCTGTTGTTGGAAAGATGTACATACAGGGTTGTTTGACTCACAACTCACTTGGCACATAACAATCACCACCAGTCTAATGCTATTAATGGGTAACATTACCATGAACTTTTGCTAAGTGCCAAATCCAATAAAAGTATTGCATTTGGGTTTATTTGTTTCATGTATATATATGAAAACCCTTTCCAGAGTTACTAGTGAGCTGAGTTTGACAAACGTAGGACCTAGTTTCATAAAATGACTCAGAGCCCTACACAATTTCTGGGAGGGACGGGAAATAGCAGGTTCATCCACTCATTCATTTGTTCAGTACTATTTGTTAAGTTCTGAGGATACCAAAATGACTTTTTTCAAACAAATTGAAATAGACCCTGGTCTCCAAGAGCTCAAGCTTTACTACAGAAGGCACACCCAAAAATAGCTGATCCTAATACAGCATCATCAATTCAGTAATAGGGATAAAGTCTATTTGGGGGAGCAAAGAGGAAAGGTCCTGCCCCCAGCCTGACTGGGAAGGGCTGGGGTATAATGGAATGGTGGTCAGCAAAGGAGAAGTGGGAAAGAAAATGTAGTGGTTAGTGAGGCATTCCAGAGGGGCACAAACAGCATGTGTAGGAATTGCACACGTTGATTGTTGATGGTGTCAGGTTGGCCTCTGCCCCCCAGTGCTGTGTGGAGGATGGGCTTGAAGAGGATAAGAGCAGGAGAAAGAGACCAGTAAGGTGTTGCAGTGGTGTGGGGAGTTACAACAGCCTAAACCTGGCAGTGCAAACAGCCACGGAGAGGAAAAGCTAGAATTCATCAATATTTATAATTAACTGATTGGACACATGGGGTGAAGGAGTATCAAAGATGGTTCCCTGGTTTTTAACTTGGTGGTAACAGTAACTGAGATAGGGAATACAGGAGGAAGAGCAACTCTAGAGAGAAAAGTAGGCTCCATTTTTTGACACGATGCATTTGAGGTGCCCATGGATGTGTGTCTGTTCAGGGGTAGAATTCTTGCCTTTCATTCAGAAGACTCAGATTCAATTTCTGGCCAACATACCTTACAAGCAGCCACCACCTGTCGGCCAGTGGATGCTTGCTTGCATGGTATTATGGATTTCAGAGGAGCTTTCAGCCAGACTAAGAGACTTAGTGTTGAAAGGCCTGGTGTTGTGCTTCTGAAAATCAGTCAATGAACACAATGGATCACAGCAGTTGGATCCCATTGTGCATTGGGTTGCCATGAGTTGATGACCGCTGATAGTACCATGGTTCACATCCAAGTGAATATGATATATTCATTGTGCAGTCTGATGTGAAGCTGAGGTTAAGGCAAGAGTCTATGAGTTAGAAATTTGGAAGTCATCGGTTCAACAGGGGATGGTGGCATTCAGGTGCAGAAAGGCAAGAAAACGGCTTCTGGAGCAAGAGAGGCTTACTTAATTGGCCTGCTGATTTTCTGCTCTGTACACTAGACTTTCTCAGCCCAACAGATCCGTGTTTTCTTGGACCACTAAGATATGGTTGCCCATTTTATCTCACACTTTCTTAGATCATTTGTAAAACTAAATATTTCCAGTTTTGTACTTTTTACTGCACTGAGAACTACTTATATATGGCACTTACTTCCTTTTCATATATAGGACTTGGCAAGGTCTCTTATATAGTAGGTGACAGATAAATATTCATCTTTATTGCTCATCTGATTCCCTGGTTCCGTGCCCCACCTCCCCACCACACACACACCCTTGTAGGAACTTGCTTCTCAAGTTTAACTTCTAGCACTCTTGGAGATTTATTTAGATGTAAGTAGGCAGTACTTGATAGATAAGTATCTTCCATTCATGATCACCACACAGTGCTTGTTGCAGGATTTGGAAACACCCAGTTCTCATTTAGGGAAGCTCCTGGAATTTATGCAGCGAGGTCCCTCAGAGGGAGTTAGAGTTACAGTAACCTGGCTCGAGTAATCCCTGATTCCAGGTGGTGACAAGGGTTGAGTTTCGTGCTTTGCTTTATTTTAAAAATATGTGCAAAACAGTCACTAAAAATACGAACAAACTAGGCTTTGTTGCTGCTGAGCGGCTTGGCAAATTTCTGTAGAGAGGAACCATAGGGCATGAAGGATTTGATACTGGGCCAGAGTCCAATTGCCCTCGGTAAGGCAGTATAATATCCTTTTTAAGAGCACTGAAGTTCTGGGATTTCTCTAGAATAACCACCTTTGTGAGGTGTGGATCATATCCAACGGCTGTAACCTGAGAGGAAACAAGAAACAATTATCTGAGTGATTTCAGATGTCTTGTGGTGCCAACATTGAAACACTGGCATCCCACAAACTGTGCCTTTGTGAAACACATGCAAGTCGGCCAGGCCTCTTGGGCTAGTAACAGAGTTGGCCCCTCTCAGTGAGTGTGCTCTATCTACAATGCCTGTTCGTGCGGACCACAGTTGCGAATGCTGCTGCCAAGACTTAGAAAATGAAAGAAAGACAAGCCCCTTATCTGGTGATATAAGTCAGTAGAAGGAAGCAGTAGAGTGGTCCTGCCACCATTATTTTCATGACGTGGAGCCCAAGGAAAGAACTGACTCTTTCACTCTGGCATACGTTTGTGCTTAGGATCCTCACTGGATATATGTATAAGTGCAATTCTTTCCCTGATCAAGTATACATATCTATTGCTTGCTTTGATTTTACCTTGTTTTATTTATATGGGTCTGAATTGTCATCTGTTGTTGTTGCGTGCCATCATTTCCGACTCACAGCGACCCGGTATATGGTTTATGAGGAGTGACTGGTGGGTTTGAACCACCAACCTTATGGTCAGCAGTCCAGTGCTTATCTTACAATGCCACACCAGGACTTCCTGAATTGGCATCTAGACTTATGATTTTTGGTGGAGGAGATCATCAGGAAAAATAAGACAAAAGCTAAATTAACTATAATAAGTTACATCTACTGAGATATACTTTCATTATACCAGGTGAAGAGGGAAAAGACTGGAGAGTAAGATTTATAGAACTACTAACTGGTCATTTTACCCACTCATTTCAGTTCCCAGAGTTTCGCCTTCATTCCCATCTGAGAAACAATCACTGATAGCTAATGTGTATTCCTGGCGGAAGGAAGTCACCTCTTCTGCAGTAAAAACTGGCTTTTAATTTCATTTTTCCAGTTATAATGAAAGGAATGGCGTTTAGTTTCTAAAACCCTTCAGGATTCAGAGCCTCCCTACTGCACAGGTCACCCCAGTACATGCAGTAGGCTCATCCAGAACTAACCCTCTTCGTGGGAAGCCTCCTGCTGCTGGACAAATGGACAGAGCTGGAAAACTCAACTCACTGTGAACCACACCTAGAAAAGCCCTTGATTTTCCTGCTAACGCACTCTGAAATTTGGTCCTGTCTACACTGCTTTTGATATCGGTGTCCTTTGCATGGGAACTTGGAGTGTATTAGGAACATGTGAATTCTTGGGGTAAACAGCTAAACTATTAGAGTTGGTATTAAATGGAAACCTCCTCTGAGGACATCCAAAGGGATCCCGCATGATTTACCAATTTTAATTAATTTTAAGCTTCATAGTTTGTGGGGGGATTTAATTTTTCTTTCTAGATTCTAGTATTTTTGTTTTTCCCATTTGGAACAAGACAGTCAATCTTTGGTCATCTCATGCCTAAAAATATTAGATCTACTAAAATAAGTGTTACGAATCGGGCTGCGAACCTTAAGATCAGCGGTTTGAAACTACAAGCCACTCCGCGGGAGAAAGATGAGGCTTTCTACTCCCGTAAGGATTTACACCCTCGGAAACCCTGTACTGGGTCGCTATGGGTTGGAACCGACTCGACGGCACTTAACAACAACAACACAAAATAAGTGTTTTCCTTGTAGTGAATATAAATTATTTTTATGCAATCCCATAAATAATCCCTTATCGATTAATGTTTCAAATTATTCATTCCTTTTTACCTTATGCAGGACATATTAGCTCTCGGACAAGAATGAAGGCCAGATTCTGGGAGTTGAATTGAATGACTAAAATGACCAAGTAGTGGTTAGGTAAATCTTTTCCCTCTTCATCATAAAGAGTATAAATATTTCTCAGTAGAAATGGTTTATAGTTAATTTAACATTTGTCTTATTTTTCCTGATTATTTCACTTAGAATGAATTATATAAATAATGTTCATGGAGTAGTTGTTAAAATGGTATTCCATGAATATTGGAAGTACTTTTGGTATATCATTGAACTATTCTTATTATTGTTAAAGTTAGCTGCTTTTTTTTGTTTTTTAATCATAAAAAGTATCACAAGAGATAGGATTTGGCTTTTGATTAAAAAAAAAAAAAATTGCCAGTTAGGAAAAAATGCAAATTTTTCTGGTATGTTCTTATTCCTCCCATTTGCACTGCTATTTTCTTTTGGCCTGAAGTATCTTCATTTAGACTTTCCAGACTTACTTTTTAGATTCCATCTAGGTAAGTAAGTGTTATAGTGTCTATAATATTCTAAGAAAAAAACCCAGGATTGTATGCTTACATTTATCACATAAGATCCAGGCAAGAGAAGGAGATAATACTCTCCAAATTTGTTGGTTTTGTAGGGGCAGATATGTGATCTATCTTGGACTTCCACAATTACGTTGGGTAATGGAACTTTGTTGTAATTAAAAACTTGACCTTTTACACCTGAAAGACAAAAAGAAAATCAAATGTAAACACTAAATGTTATGGCACATGAGATAATTTTCTTACAATGATTTTATAGCTGTTTTGAGTTAATAAAGTATTAAAGAAAAATTCATCTTATTTTCTCTCAGTTAATATTTCCCTATTTTATTTGTTGTTATTGTGAATATACACAATTCCTACATGTAGCATTTAGTAACACTGATTGTGTTTTTCCTTTCTCACCTGTCTCTTCTGAGTTCTTCCTCCTTCATTAACATAAATGCATTGCCCTCAAGGTTCCTAGCGAATCTTTTAAGTTGCTGTTGTGTACTTGGTCCCATATTTGTTGTTGTTATGTGCCGTGGAGTCGGTTCCGACTCACAGCGACTCTGTACAGGGTTTCCGAGGCTGTAAATCTTTACAAGAGCAGAAAGCCTCATCTTTCTCCAGTGGGAACTGCTGGTAGTTTCGAACTGCTGATCCTTAGGTTAGCAGCCCAATTCATAACCACTATGCTACCAGAGCTCCTTTCGTCCCATATAGATAGTTCTTAAAAGAACATAATGCTCAAGGCAGACCTTTTCCCGGAATTAACTAAACTACCGTTTGGTTTTAAGATGATTTCAAGGGATATTTTTGGTTTAAGGTTACAGGGCAATAATTTCAGGGTTCATTCACTCTCCATGTCTCCAGAAAGTCTAGTCCATGAAAATTTGAAATTCAGTTTTGTAATTTCCCCTTTTGATCAGGATTCTGATATAGTATCTTTGGTCAAAATGTCCAGCTCTTCTGGTCTCATGGCAAAGGAGTTAGTAGTTCATGGAGACAGTTAACTATGCATTCCATATTCTCCTTTTATTGCTGATTTTCTTTTATCCTCTTTTGCTAAAAGTGAATAGGGGCCACCTGGAAGCTTTAAGACCCCAAGTACTATGTAGTGAACTAGAAAGTACAACAGAAGTACTGACCACATTATTAGGCTAAGTAACTACGATGTTCCATGAAACCATGACCCTAAACTTCCAAATCAATGACCCATGAGATGTTTGCTATACATAAGGAGCCTCAGTGTCTACTTTTTATATTTATTATATATATAAATATATCTATCACATTTTTGCCAATTCAACTTTTTACATGTGTACAATTTACTGGCAGCTGTTATAATACTACCTTTTAATCAATGTGGTTTTTCCATAACTGTCAACCCCCCATTTTCTGTCTTCCACTCCTGGTAACCAGTAATAAACTTTGGTTTTCTTATTGACTATTTCTCTCAGCAAAATATCTTCAAGTTTCATCCATACTGTCGCATGTATCAAAATTTAATTTTCTCTACTGACTAAGAAGTATGTCATTGTAGGTAATGTACTACATTTTGTTTATCCATTTATCTGCTGATGGATATTTAGGTTGTTCCCAAGCTATTGTGAATAGTGTTTTAAAGTTTTTTTGGGTATGTATCTAGGAGGGGAATTTCTGGATCACATGGTAGTTCTGGAGTAATCGTGTGGCACTTAGGATAAGCACTGGGCTACAGGTCAGTTTAAACTACAAGGTTGGTGGTTCAAGCCTACCAACTGCTCCTTGGAAACCCTATCCATGAGTCAGAACTGACTTGATGGCACTTAACAACAACAACATGGTAATTCTATTTTTAGTTTCTAGAAGAACCATCACACTATTTTCCACAATAATTGTACCACTTTGCATTCCCACCAGCAACAGGCAAGTGTTCCAATTTCCCCACATTTTTGCCAGCATTCATTATTTTTCATTTTAATTTTAAATCTTAGACATCCTAGGGGGAGTAAAGTAGCATTTCATTGTGGTTTTAATTTGCATTTCTCTCATGGCCAATGGTATGGTTTCATGTGTTTGGTGACCATTTGGTAATTGGTATGCATATACTTCCTTCTCCAGGGCTCTGATTTAGCATCGAGCCTTCCCACCACTTAGGAAATTCATGAATTTGTACCAGATGCCTTGTGGTGGTGTGTCTGTTGGCTTCTTTTGTATTTGTCATTGACTTCCTCAAAACAAAACAAAACAAAACAAAACCCAAACTCATCAAAAAGAAAGCAAAACTAACTTCACCATTGCTAAACATCTAAGATAATGGACAAAGGATTCTAGTAAAGAGTAAAACCAAAACCCACTGCTCTAGAGTCGAGTCTGACTCAGAGAACCTATAGGACCCAGTAGAATTGTCCCACAGTTTCCAAGACTATAAATCTTTATGGAAGCAGAATGCCATATCTTTCTTTTTTTGGAGCGGTTGGTGGATTTGAACCACTGAATTTTTGCTTAGCAGCCAGAATGCTCCTTGGAAGCTAGGATCACCAGACTCTCATACTTCAGACATATTATCAGGAAAGACTAGTCTCTGGAGAAGGATGTTATGTTTGGTAAAGTGGAGAGTCGGAGAAAAAGAGGAAGATCTTCAATGAGATGGACTGGCACAGTGGCAGCAGCAATGGGCTCAGGCGTAGCAATGATTGTGAGATTTGCGCAGGACTGGGCAGTATTTCGTCCTGTTGTGCACTGGGTCGCTATGAGTCGGTACCGACTCGATGGCACCTAACAACAACAACAAGAAGTGATTAATTATTGTGCTACCAAGGCTCCTTAGTAAGTGGTGGGGGTAGTGGTGTGTTGTGTGTGCAATCGGTTCCAACTCACTGTGATTCTGTAGGGTTTCCGAGGCTGCACATTTTTACGGGACCGTAAAGCATCATCTTTCTTCCATAGAGTGGCTGGTAGATTTGAATTGCTGACCTTTGTGGTTAGCAGTCCAACTCGAAACCCACTACGCTACCAGAGTTTCTTTAGTGAAGAGTTGCTGTTGTAAGGTACAATAGAGTTGGTTTTGACTCACAGCTATGCTGTATAGGCTTTCTGAGGAGCAGCTGGTGTGTTTGAACTTCAGATCTTGTGGTTCGCAGTTTAGTGCTGATCCTACAGCACTACACCAGGAGTCAAGAGTAGTGGGCTAAAAACATGAAGAAAAAAAGCCATATGACCTTGAATATATCTCAC